CAACTTCCATTGTTCTAGGATTTAAATTACCATAACCGGAAGCTATTTAGCGCCATGGTGATGTAACTGTTACTCGTAATCGAATCGGTATCTCATTCGTCCGACGATCAGCATCGAATTGATCGAAAGCCCACGTTTTGAAGAAAGCCTGGCGGGCATTTAACGCGCGCGACTGTTGCCAACTCGGCCTGTAAATAGAATTAACAACGCTGGAATGATAAGTGACGTCGTGGCTGGATCTGATTCGATTAGGAAGTGTATCACACCGGGAGAACGCTCGTGGTGTCAATGAACCGGGATAATAGACGTATCTCCGCGTGGAACGGAAAAAAGGAAGAAGAGATTAGTTTACCTATTCATCGGTGATTAGAGACACCCGGTATACGCAGCAATGCGTGTCACGCCTACGACTGTCGCGTCAGGCGTTTGTCGGATCGACAGAAATTACTTTCAATGATACGAAACGTGGTCGGCATAGAGGCCAGTTTCGCACAGCAACTATTCTTGGCGAAATTCTTCGACGATAACGAAGGGAAAATGCAACAAACCAGACAATTCGATCAGATTTATCACAATTTTAGAAATAATTATCCTCGATGAAAGGGAGGATTAATTATAACGTTTCTATATTTACTTCAAAATGTATTGCTTCAACCGAGGTTCCAAATGTTTAAATAAAAAATTTTGATTCCACGCAGAGAAATTCCCGTGCGAATTTCCAACGAGGAAGTTTCGCTGATTTTTCGACGAAAATTTGGAAGCTTGAAATTGTTTCGCTTACCGCGATAGCCGCAAGAGAGCCGCGAATGGAATTTTGAAACGCGATTGCCACGTAGAACTTGTTATCCTTGCGTATCCACGCGGCTCGCAGATTGGAATAACGATGGCGAATAAAGAGCAGTACAGTTCGTAGTCGCGGAGCGTAGCATCGATACTTAACCCGGCCTATCAACCTCGGAAATCAGAGACGAACCTCGATTTCGCGACGGGTTATTACCATTGTCTTATCTATTTCTTACGAAGTTATTGATACCAAAGTACCTTTCGATCGAGTTCAATGATGTTCTATTATTTTTCTGAATTCAGCTCCGTCTTTAGCCATTTCTCAGGATGTAATTCGATTTTCTCTGATCAACCGTAGAAAATATCGCGAAAACAACAACGTCAATTTATTATACCGTTAGCACGTTTGATCTAACTCGATTTCGTTCGGGTTTCTCGGGGATGTTTCGTTGTTGGTTGGACTGTATCCAGCCGAGCTTGGCTGATAACAGGAACGACAAGTAGAACTCTGGGATACGTATAATGCGGCGAAACGTGCTCATGGAAGACGTATGTACCATGGTGCAGACCGCGTCTACCGTGTGCACGATGCTGTGTGATTCCCGCCATATTCACGGACCAATGATTTATATGCTAATTCAAAATGCAACAAGATCCCTTGTTCCGGAAACTTTCACCAATGGGACCAATAAGCCCGTGTACAGTTATCTCGAATGCTGACCAATAAACAATTTACTGCAATTCCAAGATGCGATAGGATTTATTTATCAGATCGTAAAGGAAGGAGGAAATTCCATTTCCATTAACGAGAATGACTATAAATTCGTTTAGGAATACGCTTTAAAAATCAAGAAGGAATTTCAGGATTTCGCGTTATCTCGCGATTGAAACGTTCCTTTCGAAACGTATACTTTCGATAATGAAACGCGAAGAGACGAGAGGATGTGTTAGTTTACAAAGCGTTCGTGTTCCAGGAAGATTCTTTGTTCTCGAATCTGCGGAATCCTTCGTTTCTCGTTTTAAAGACGAGTAAACGTACTAGCCGTTCGTTCCGCGGCCAAAAGGACTCCATTTTTAGACCATGCGGTCGATCCTACTCGGTTGTGTATCATCTCGGGAGTTAGTCATCGGTAGCACATTTGCGTCGCACGTTTCGTCACTGTCATTATCATCGTTGCGACGTTTCAACGAGCAAAATCCTCTCGGTAAAACGAAGATTTTTATGTTGGAAATCGGTCAGACGGATATCGTCGGGTTAGTCGCGAATGGTACTTTCTGTTTCATTCACCTGATCGTTGCCGAAGACACACTTGACGTTAATCCAACGGTGCGCCTTGACGGTGCAGTTGCAACCGTCCATCGCGCATATCCCGGGCGGTGCACTCTCGACCCCACCGGACAGAAATACTAGACACCACAGAAACACCGAGAATACGATCGCACGATCACACTTTAGCCCGTCCAGGCCACTGAACACTCTTCTTCTCGCGTTCATCTCGGATGGTTATCCTCAGTGGGACAAAGGGTCGGGCTAACGATCGATCGATCGCCTTCGATTTTCTTCCCTCGCCGATCTTTCCTCACATCGTTCACCGCACACCGTTACCCGTCGCGGACACTTTCATCGATCCTCCTCGCCGAATCCGGTTACATCTGTATCGATCGATCGATCGATCGATCGATAAGGTACTGGATCTATATTTTTTTCCTTGGATAATCCTGGGAATCGTTTTTCGGGATCGGTGATATGTCTCTTCGATGGTCGAGATAAGCTGGGAATCAGCGTAGTGGACAAGGGAATCGGTGGATCGGAGTAGTCGGCCACGAAGAAGTGGAAACACGCGCGCGGACCGCTTGTTCCCGAAGAGGTGGGGCAGCTAGAAGCCAGCTGACGCGATCATGACGGAGGTTGCTTTGAAACTGTGGTCGGTGGCATGCACGATCGGTGTCTGCTCCCCACCAAGAACCATGTTCCTTGCCGAGCCTTGCCTTTGCCACGGCTCTCGCCTACTCTCCCTCTTCTTCAACCTTTTAAAAAGATAAAAGCCAGCCACGCTGCAGGTCGGAGGGGCGAACCCTTGTTCACCGTTGCTTTCCACCGGGTTCGCTCCGTTTAGATCGCGAGGCTTCTTCGTCGTCGGAGCCCGAGACACCGGTTCTTCCAGCAGCTCAGGCTCGTCGCACTTTGCGCCTTTCAAAGGGCTCTGACCTTGACCAAGTTAGTCAACCAAAGAAATTCTGTCCATCCCGGATCACGGATGTCCTCCTCGTGGTCGAGGCTTTACGTAACACTTGTTTCTACCGTGCGGTTTCGTCGAAACGGAGTACACTCTCCGTGGAACGCACCTGTTGGAGCGGAATCATGGTCGCTTCGTATCCTTTGTCGATTCTGCGGTGTTCTTTCGCGTTCGAAGATGTATTACCGTCTGCGGTTTCGTTTCTGTTATTCTGATCGGGATTCGAGTAATCTTGTTTTGTAGTTTCGTAATTATAATTTCCAATTTTAACCCTTTGCCATATGAAACTTACACTTCAAATGTGTGAAATTTGGCTGGTACTTTTAGTATGATTGAATTTTCAATTTAATTATAATTATAATTTGCTCAGTCAAGCATATTTCAATTTTCTTTATTTATTTTAAAATTCAACTGACGTAATTATAAAAAATATCATAGGGGAAGGGGTTAATAAAACAGCTCTGAAAATTATTGGCATAATTTCTCCATTATACACAACAGACCCATGTGGTAAAACAAATGCCGAAAATATCATGACCATTCAGAAGGCACTAAAAGCCAGCGAAATGCATTGCTTTACGGCCCGTTCGCAGAAAACTTGAAAGCCAACGTGTAACGAGCATAGCATAAAAACGGGACACGGCTGTTGGTTGGCTCGTCGCATTTCACGGTGCACGATGGGTTTCCCTAAAACGTTGTACGTACACCATCGTAGGCCGTTCGCTTTACGAGCGGATGCCTGACCATTTAATTTCCCATGAGAAATTGCGCGTGTTCATGGAAGTTGGTAGCCAGCGGCGTCGCGTCTGCGACACACATGCGGAACGTCCGTTCATTCATAACGCTTTTCCCGAACCAGGAAGCACCTGACGCCAGCCAGGGAGTGGCCATTTCCGAAATGACCACGTGCTGACCATACGTCACATCGAGGCCACGAACCTTAAAGCCAGCCGACCAATTTACAGCGGACGAATCTTCTTTCTGGTTCGATCGAGTTTCGCGTTCTTTCCATAAGATCCTCTTCTCATATTCTCGTGTTACCCGACGTGATCGGTAAAACGAGAGCCTGTATCAAGGATACTCCTCGGTACCGATGTCAACCAATAGGTATTGACGTTTCTGATGGATGAAACTTTTTCATTTTTTAACTCCACCATTCCGAGTTTCAACTATCCTAGTCGATACCTGTTTGCTATTGATAGAAGGATACAGACTGTTCAGTGGGACGTTTGAAAATTGCCTAACGCTTGCGAATATGCGAAAGATATTAAGCATTGGATTGCGTAAAGTTAGTCTCTTTCACAAGCGAATGCCGATTAAATATATAACCAAGTCTTGGGATACCGGTTTGGTCGCGCGTGGTTCTTCGAAGGTAGCCGCGTGTCCACGGGTTTTCGAAGAAGTCGTTCTTGGTGGCCAGTTGGTGGACGAGAAAATCGGCACGGCAATGATCGCTTATAGGTGTATAGAGAAACACGTAGCATCGTGTACGAGCTCCGGAGAACGGAATTACGACGTGATTGCGCCTTATTAGGGATGACTACGAACGATGAGTTGGTAGTTGGGGGGAAGCAGCGATTGTCTGGCTGACAGAAGAGCATCGTCCTCTGCTCGTGATCTACCCAGACGAGATCCGTGAAAACGGAGCACCAATTAGGGGCATCGCGGCTCGAAAACTCGTTGTAACGAGAAGGCTACCTGCGATGATCGTGGCCTCGTTTGGAACCGCTTCTTGAAACGCAACAGTACTCTTAGAACTCGCGATTCAGCTCCGTGTCGCGCTGGTCGTTGACTCCGTTAACTGTATAGAATTTAATTGTACAGAGAAGAGAGGGAGATAAGATTCGGTAGATTTAATTTACAAGATGCGTATTATAACACCCGTACGAATTTGGAAATAAAAAACAATTATGTCCTCTTGGTGCAAAAGTATAAAGTAATATACTTTTCAACAATTGCAATTTCCTCTGCTCTTTATAGTTGCCACTCGAACGAACGGCTCTTTCTGCGAGATTTCGTCTCCTGTTCAGCCGGGACCAGTGGTGGTCGTTTGGCAAGATGGTTGCAACCGGACAGCTTTGTGGATCCCTCGAAATGCGAGGCGCTTTACTCGAAGGAAGAGATGAAGTGCGGATGGCCGGCCATAGTTACTATACTCACGAGAGATCAGTACGGGGACGTCGTGCATGTACCCAATCTAAAGGTACGATGATAACTCTCAGCATCCGATAGCGTAGCTTTCCGTTTGATGCTTTAGAATTTCACAATTATTTCTGTAGGTCGAAGTGAAAGCAGTTCCCATAGACAAAAAGGACCTAGCAGAATCGGATCAAGGAAGAAAAATTCGACGAGTATCGCAGCCGGACCCGATGAGCTTCGGAGGTCATCCTCAGCCTCCGTTAGACGTTCCGTACGAGGTTACGATCAACAATAAGACCTGTTTCTACGCGATCACTATCATGAAGGCTTATCAAAACTATTCGTTCGAGGAGCTGAGGTTTATGTCACCGACTATAAAAAGATCGAGCGAGAGTATGCTGGTCAGACCTAACGGCGATGGAAGTTATAGCGCTACTTGGACACCGTCATCGGTCGGATGGTATTCTCTCATGATCACAGTTGACGGATACAACATGGAAGATGTGAGATATTTAAATTCTATTATTTATTTTTAACGATAAACGTCACTTTCGTGTTTTATGATATTAAAATCATTATACACCACTGTTGGGTATGAAGCATCCTTGATAATCTTGGGGTTTGATTTTCGCTACAGAATTACAGAGTGGAAGTGAAGGAACCTCCGCAGGGTATGCAACCACCGACGCGAAATATAGTGAAGAAGCCGCAGCATCAACCGAGCAGACTGAGAAAATTCGTGGTGAAGAATAGCGCGGGTTTGAGGATCAGGGCACATCCGTCTCTTCAAAGCGAGCAAATTGGAATCGTCTCGGTTAATGGCACTATAGCGTTCATAGACGAGGTAATCGTGGCTCCTTCGAATTACTTCCTCCTCCTCGAGAAGCGTCCCTTTCCTCAACGAAAGCGTCATTGTACTCTTATAGATTCATAACGACGACGGTGTGTGGTTGCGATTAAACGCGGAAACGATTAAGAAATTCTGCAGCAGTAGTCATCTGGAAGCTTGGTGCTTGCAGTACAATCAACACTTGGGAAAAACTTTGTTACTTCCGGTGGAAGAGCCGAAATCAATCTTAGATCAGGTCATCAAGGATACTATCTTACGGAAGAGGCCTGAAGTAGTTGACGAGTACGTAGAAAGATTTTCTTTCTTCTTGATTCTAGGATGATTTCTTCATCGAGTTCCTCGTTTTAGTAAAAGGAAAACTGTTACTTTCGATGGCGGTAGAAGCATGGTCGTGGTGAAGTGCGGCGCATCCGGTCACAACATCAGAAGTAGGCCAAGTTTGAAGGCAGCACCGGTGGGAATGTTGGCTCTCGGTAACTCGGTGACCATTCAAGAATACGTAAGTCTTGAAATTGATCATTATATTTTAACGACTTCGAAATAACGAATGTCTAATGGAAGGATATTGTTCTAATTAGTTTGCTAACAACGAAGGCACTTGGGTACGAATCGACGACGAATCGATGGCCAAGTATTGCTTCGACAAAGGTCGGGTGGCCGAGGGTGAAGCATGGTCCCTTGCCATTAACAAACACGGTGTTACGTACATGAAAACCGAGCAAGATCTCGAGAACGATCCGGTGGAGAAGAAACCGATCGTGGCTGATCCGTCCGTTTCACCTAATCACAAAGGTTTCGATTTCTCAGTGCCTTCCGTGAGCAACGAAGGCTTCAATTTCACCGCCCAGAATTACACACCGGGTACGGCCGAGTCTGGTGAAGGTAGCAACACGAATCCATTCATTTTTGGTTCGTACAACCAGCACGATTCGCCAGGTACAAATTAAGAAAACTGTTTTGCACAGTGACTCACGAACGATACCCCTATCAATATCAATTTCCAATGATTTCAAAATTTCAATTATTATCCTGAGTCACTAGGGTATTTTAAAAAAAAAAATTATCCTATCAAAATATTTGTTATCATATTCCTTTTAGGGAGCGATAAATTCACACCAGAGAAGACTGACGTTTCACCGAAATTCACGAAGCCTCATTCGAAAGAAAGAATGGTAAAGGAAAGAGAACGCGAAGGTGGTGGTGGTGGTGGAAAATTCAGCGTGTTGCAGAAATGGTTGAGAGGCGACGACAAGTGTCACGGGGAGAAAAAAAGCTCCCCTGGCAGGTGAGTGAAAACGAATGAAGCGGTAGTACGCGCACAGTTTCGATTAAGTTTTATCGTATAGTTTTGGCATCTGCAGGGACTTCTCCGAGTTCGTCGGGGTGTCTGTGAAGGAGTTGGTGAAAGCAATGGGTGAGAGTCGAGCGAATGGTAACGGTGCCACGCCACCGGAGACCCCGAGACGATTGTCGAGAAGCTCGTCACCGAAGAATCCCCAAGGTGGGTCACCAAGATTTCACAGCCCGTCCTCTAGCCCGGTTCCAATACCCGGTACGTATACACATAATTCTCAAATCATTCCGATAAATATCTTTTAGTTGCTCTACTCTACGACAGATCTTTATATTTGTTTCTATTATTTTTTTCTCTCTATCTTCTTGTGATTTGTTCATTGTTAATCTCATACGTTCATGTGTGTGTCTTACTTCACACTTTTGGCACCGTAACTGGTCTGAGGAGGGAAACCATTTCAGAAGCTGAGAGACCCGATAACGATACTTGTAAGATCATGTGTAAATAAAGTCCCGCAAATATTTCTTTGTTCCGTTTGAACGGATTATCTTAGAACGAACCATTAAGTATGAATAAGTCACACCTCTCCGAATGTCTATCTTAGGTTATATAAATATACATATATATATATATATATAAATTTTATCGGATTAGTTATAACAGAATAGTGATGTTGATCTTAGCTGGGTCCAGTCGGCAGCCAGTTGGTTCTGGTAATTGCCTCTTCCCTCCTGCTGCTCATGCACCAGGTACTCGCTCCTTTCCTACTCAACAATAATCCTCAGTCTGTACAGTTTAACGATATATTATATATAGTGCATAGTGTTTGTGTTGTTTCGATAATCGTACCACTTTCTCAAACTCTGTCGATTATAAATTGTTCTTGAAAGATGTTAGAGCACCGTAGATTGTTCCCTTTTTATTACTGTACGAACACGACACCACACCGAGTGCATGTATTCGACAAAACGAACACATTTTACACTTGTAAAATAATTCAATCGTTGCACGTATATCTACCTGTTGAAAATACACTCTCACGTTACTTGTACATATACGAGATAAAGAATCTAATTAGTGCACATCAGAGTACACCGAGAATAAGCTTAGCGTAATATAAGTATCATCGTAATCACTTCATCGCCTATGATTTCTACAAATGATCCAAAAATTGTCAGGTGGGAGAAGCTTGATAGGAGGGGGAGACAGTATCAGTAGCAGCCCTGTGCTATGTGGCTCCCCCCGAAGTGTCGGCCTCTCCCCTTTAGGTAAGGATAAAACAGCACACATTATGATACAGAATTTTTGGGACAGAAATACTCATGAAAGTCTCAAACAGCATTAACCGTTACACGCTACGATACCTTAGAAACTTGACACCAACATAGTTTGCACTGAAACACGAATTACATTCTGGAAACATAATCGTCACCGAGATTGGGCTAGTTTAATCATTCCTCATTTGTTCACGACAAAGTGGCACGAAATTATTTTGCACGATATCGATGCGCTATGCGAGAGAATGCCACGCAAAATACATTTTCTACTTTTCTTACGTTCGTCATGAGGATCAAGGTGAGATAGCACCGTCCTTGCGATACATAGAAATAAAAAGATATTAGTTTATCGAAGTCTTGCGGACGAATTACACCCCGTTTCTACGAGCGTGTTTATGTTTCCCTTTTCAAGTATCCGGTGGCATGGTGGACAGTATCACGTCGCAGAGACGTGGATCAACCCAAAGCGACACAAGTGCCTTGGTCAGTAGTCTAACGAGGGATCCTTCGCAGTCCCCAAGTGCTGTCAGCACAACTGCCAATACTCGCGACCTTTCTCCAAGTCCAAGTTGTAGTTCTTTACACATGAGATCCGAGGGTAGTATAGCTAGTCCACCCGACACACCGAAGCAAGATGGCGGGGTAAGTAATCGAGGCCGCGAATCGAATATACAATAACGAGATAGGGGTTGATCGACACCGTTTGATTTCGTTGAAGGATTCTCAAGAAAGTCCGCGAAAGGTATCTCAAGCGCAGACGCAAACGAGTCCCGAGAGTGCTACCACAGCTATGAAGGGTCATTTTAGCATCGGTTCGGCTGGTCCAAAGGAGGAACGTCATCCAGCGAAACTGAGCAGAAGGGAGCATAGCAAAATAGCTAAGACCCGAACGAAACGAGCTATCTCGCCGACTACCTCTCAAAGTCCTTCTCCGAATAGGACGTTGAATCTGACCAAGGATAAAGTAAAGGAAGCTATCAGTCCTTCGGTGGCAGAATGCCTGCGAGCTGTGTTCGCGGCGTTTCTTTGGCACGAAGGGATCGTGCACGACGCGATGGCATGCGCCAGTTTCCTCAAATTTCATCCTAGCTTACCGAAACAGGGCGCGCTCGTGGTGACCCGGCAAACGGTGCTGCAATCAACGGACAAGCAGAAACAGGAACAGAAAGCGAGACAAAGACACTCGGTCGAGGTGACCAACGCCGGGAACTACTTGCACATTCAACCGAGCACATTGGAGACTTTAACTCGGTCGGCGGCGAATGCGAACGCGAACAGGAACCGAAAGAAACAGGAAACAACGATTAAGGAAGAGGTGCAGGAAAACGGGAAATTAGGCGCTCTGCCGGAATTTCAAACGGTCGCTGTTCTACCGCCGGCACTGAAAAGCTTGGTATTCTTATGGGAGGAGCTTAGCACTAATTGTCTTCAAACCATAGAACAACGCTCGGTACTGCCGAGCCCGATATCGCAGATACAAACGACGAAGCTTAGCAAACGACCGGAAAAACGGATCCGGGAGGACAAAGTGAAAGAACGAGAGAAGAAAACCAGCAAGAAGAAAAAGGAATGGAAACCGGTCGGAAGAGCAAACGGATCGGAGGCGCTGGGAGGAATAGAACGAGAAACAATTTGCGAACTCTGCGGCCTTATGTTTCCGCATCCAGTTACTTATCATATGAAGATGATGCATCCCGGTTGTGGATGGCACGCAGGCGGGAAGGGTTACAATAGCGGAGGTAACTATTGCATCGGATGGGCGGGGAACTGTGGCGACGGTGGAGTCGGAGGTAGCTCCTGGTACCTCATCTGCGATACCTGTCGCGATAAATACTTGAGAGCTAGGAAGCTGAAACTCGCAAAGAAATTCCTAACCGGGATGACGAAGAAGAAGAACGGTACTGGCAAAATCGTGTCGCCTCTCGGCAGTCCGAATGGTAACGAAACACACATCATCATGAAGAACAATGCGATGTTCCTGTTAGACCTGGCCAGTGCTTCTGGATTAAACATTCCGAAACAGCAAAGACGACCTTCTCAGACTTTGTCGTCGGTGGCTGAAAATTATAGTCCCCCAGAAGCGGCTGGACCGTTCCCTCCAACTGGACCATTCCAATGTCTGCAAGCCTTGGGAGTTCATAATTCGCAGAGTCACGATGAAAGGTACTACGAAGAAACCCTGAGACGGCAAAATGGTCACCCGAACGGTTATGAAGGGAACAATGGCATGTCTAATACCACAAACGGCAGGGTAAGGAATTTCTATCAATTTTCTCGATGATTTTATTCGATAACTTCGTCAATTTTTATATAGCCTCTGTCGGAACATCCTATAAGCGATAGCGACAACGAAAGTACTAAAGGTCGGGGAAATTTTCATCGGTCAGTATCGATGTCCACTGCGGCTCCTTGGACCAGGAATACTAATGACGGCAGAGTGGTCATGATGCGGAAAAGGAATAACAGTAGCAGCGAGATGAACAACGGTACGTGAAAATTCATTGAATTCTAAGATGAATGTAGAAACCTGAAGGTAATTCGAATCAAGTATTTTCTTTTGGTACAGAGGCAGGCTCGTCTCTCCTGTGCTACCCTTCCGCAGCCCTTCAGAAGCTAGTACCTTCGATGAACCAGTCGGCAATTGTCTCTACTAGTCAAGCAGAAGTGACAAATACTGACAAGATAGAGATTCTCGTGAGGCCAGTGATGCTGTTCGTTCTTCAACAACACAACTTGCAGCATTTACAACTGGCCATGAAGCAGGCGTTACGTCGTGCTGCGTGTCGAGTTTACGCGATGCAAGCGTTAAACTGGTTGTTAAGAAGCGTCACTCAACCAATCTGTCTTCATGATTTACTGTGGTGGTTCGTTGCTTCCCTGTCACCAATTGTATCACCTGATATTGCAGATGCGAATGACGAGGACAATAGGACTGACAGAAAGGAAGATCACGTAAGTTGTGCTAGCAAGTTGGGTCTTGAGTTTATCTCACGAATAAAGTGTCTCGCAGCGATAACGTTGATTGTTTGTTTTTAAGGACATGATCGGTGTATGCGAACATCCCTTGAGCGATCTAGTCATAGCAGGCGAATCTGTTAATCCATTGCCAACAGTGTTTCACACTTTGTTGCAAACTATAGCGGATCTCATGCTTTTACCTCCGCCTGGTAGGTCTTTCGAGTTAGGCTAAACGTATTATTTTTACATTCATTATATCTTGTACTTTCGTATTTAGGATCACCCCTTCAACAAGCTGCTATTCGCTGCTGGGGTATTAAATTCACTCCTGCGGATCACATGTTCTTACACAGAAGTCACGTGTTTAGTAACATTAGTAAAATACTCTCGAGGTCAGAAGAAGAGGAGGACACCACGTTGAGCATGCACGAAAGTCATCAGTCGGTGCATTCTCAACAAGTGAATAGTTGCGTGGAGGTTTTGAAAGATTTAACGTGCGGGGTAGAGATCAAAGCCTCGAGCAGGCAAGCTATGATAGTCAGTTTGACCGATAATTCGACGGAAACTTTCTGGGAATCTGGCGACGAGGATCGTAATAAAACGAAGACTATCAGTATCGTCTGTGGTGCTCATTCTATTCCACGAGTAGTTTACATTCACATCGATAATTGTCGCGATTTAACGGTAAGTGTGATAATAAAATGTAATTGTATTTTCAATTATCGTTTCCGGTATTTAATAAAATGATCCCGTAGCACAAGGTATCCAGCGTGACGTTTCAATCGGGCAGCAATGCAGATGAAATGGTAAAATTGAGAACGGTGGAAATTGAAAGTCGTTCAGCAGGCTGGATTCACTGTCCAGTTACTGGTAATTTTTCATACTCTGAACAATGAAAAAATTAATTGTGCGAAGAATAATTAACGTAACCTTTCCCGTAGACCCACGTCATATTATTGTGAGACTCGATTTAAAGGGTCCAGACAATTCTTTACGCGTTCGACAAATAAGAATCTTGGGCGAGATCGAAGGGGAATCATTGAAAATTGGAAAGCAATTGAGCGCGCAAACGATTCAGCAAAGGAATTGCGAAGCTGAAACGTTGAAAGTATTCCGTTTGATTACATCTCAGGTAAATTTTTTTATTGCACGAGATATAATATATGACAGAGATGGAGATTATTAATTTTCATATATTAGGTGTTTGGTAAACTCATACAAGGCGAACAGCAGCAGCAACAAACGGAAGCTGCAGAAGGTGCTAACGAAGATTTGGAAGACAGCAATGATCTTCGGGAACATATGGTTGGAATTTTGTTCAGTAGGAACAATCTGACTCATTTACAGAAACAAGTTTGTACGCATATCGTTCAAGCTATTCAGAAGGAAACCATTCGAATGAGAGAAGAATGGGAAGCACTGTTGTGTTCACCAGCACCTGCTAATAGCTTACTAAGTGATAACAGCGATTTACCAAAGGCAGCCGATACTTATTGCTTCGAAATGTTATCTATGGTGCTTGCTCTAAGTGGCAGCTCTGTGGGACAGTATTATCTGTCGCATCAGTATGGTTTATTAAAAGATCTATTGAGTTTATTACATACAGGATCAGCTAGAGTGCAACGTCAAGTATGTACAATATTTATCAACTCGATGCTTAACTTCCGATATTCAATAATATGTTATTTTTTAATGATTTAGGTAACATCTCTTTTGAAAAGAATTTTACCCGAGATCAAACCGGAAACATTGGCTAATGTGATTAGTATCAAACGCCTGCCACCCACTGATTTTAGTATCGTGTCTGCGGCAAATAATGGCTTCACCCATACCTCAGAATTCGATGAACATTCCCCGGGGATTCTCGACGTTTTCCTAAGTTGCATCGCGAAAGCGTTAACGGTTCAAGTTAAAGTGAAAGGGAAAGAAAATAATGGAAAGGCTTTGCAGACAGCATCGCTAGCTACCAGTATCCATCCCAAGAGTTACGTTGGGCCGAGATGGTGGCTAAGAGGTTGTATGACGCGAAAATTAGCCGAGGTGATAATTCAACTTTTAAAAGACATGGCATCGGTGAGTATTAATTAATTTGATATTTTGACAGTTAACTAAATGTCCGATATTGATATTCGTTCCAGGGAAAACTATCAGAAGCATGGGCATCGGTGACCAAAGCAGCGATCGCGGAAAATATTTTAAATCTTACCAGACTAGATGAGAAGAGTCGTGACCCGTCTGAATGCCTGAAAACTCCAACCTTGTGGTTAGCTCTTTCTTCGTTATGCGTTCTGGACTCCGATCACGTCGAAAGATTATCTTCTGGTCAGTGGACCGGTTCGGAGGGACAACCACCACCTCCTAGAGTAAGATCAATGAAAATAATTTATCAAATTCATTATTTTATATCATCATACGTTTAACATTGTCCGTTTTATTCATTTAGCCAACGTGTAGCAATCACGATGACGGTGAAACAACAGCCATCATCCAGTGCAACGTTTGCGGAAACTTATGCGCGGAATGCGACAGAATCTTGCATTTGCACAGAAGAACTCGAATGCATATAAGACAAGTTTGCAAGGAAGAGGAGGAAGCTATACGGGTGGATCTTCACGAGGGTTGTGGTCGAACGAAACTCTTCTGGATTCTGGCTCTTGCCGACAGCAGAACACTGAAGGCTTTGGTAGAGTTTCGCGATGGTTCGCCGAGAAAACCGGTCGGCGCTACTTCCGGTATCTGCAGATTCTGTGGCACCACGGAAAACACGGGTCTGCTGGCGATAGGGAACGTATGCGCGGATCACGATTGCCAGGAACACGCGAAGAATGCGTGCACCAAAGTGCATTCCTGCGGACATATCTGCGGAGGTGTTCGAAACGAGAAGAATTGTCTACCGTGTTTGCACAGGTGTTTGCCAGGAAGCGATTTGAAGCAAGATGCCGATGACATGTGCATGATATGCTTCACGGAAGCTCTGTCAGCCGCGCCTGCAATTCAGTTGCAATGCGGACACGTTTTCCATCTGCATTGCTGCAGGCACGTGTTGATGAAACGTTGGGTAGGACCGAGAATCACTTTCGGCTTCTCTCTTTGCCCTATTTGTAAAGTACCAATGGAACATTCCACTTTGGCCGATCAGTTGGCTAGCATCAAAGAGTTGTACGAAGATGTTAGAAGAAAGGCTTTGATGCGATTGGAATACGAAGGATTAAACAAGTATGTATAAAGTTTATAATTGAAGATGGATGTTTTATTTTACATGCTTGTTACGTATTTACAGGGCCGAAGCGGTATTTGGTCCAGGAGGACGATATCACCAAGATCCCGCCGCGTATGCGATGGAACGATACGCGTACTATGTTTGTTACAAATGTCAAAAGGCCTATTACGGTGGTGAAGCGCGATGCGATGCCCAAATTGGCGGGGAAACGTTCGACCCTGCGGAATTAGTATGCGGAGGTTGCAGCGACGTGGCAAGGGCTCATATGTGCCCGAAACACGGAGCAGATTTCTTAGAGTATAAGTGCCGATATTGTTGCTCGGTGGCGGTGTTCTTTTGTTTTGGGACTACTCATTTCTGTAACCCTTGCCATGACGACTTCCAACGAGTCACTACCATTCCAAAGAGTGAATTACCTTCGTGCCCTGCAGGTGACTTTGCTGTATCTAATTCTGTGTCTAACATCTTACCTGGTAAATTTTATTCTAATGATAATTTATATTTTATCAGGACCTAAGGCAAAACAATTGGAAGGAGACGAATGTCCTTTGCACGTTAAACATCCACCTACTGGAGAAGAATTTGCGTTGGGTTGTGGCATTTGCCGCAATGCACACACGTTTTAAAAAGAATTTTTGATATAACAACTTGATACGAAATGGGATTCTTTCACGATTTAACAGGCGATCCTTGTTGACTCTTATCAATGCAACTATACTATATAATGGATATACAGTTCGATATAAGCATTCTTATGATAACGATGGTGCGTTATTAATGCAGTAAGAAGGGAAAGATTGAGAATTCTTATGATTGCAAAGGTGGAATTGATGCAACATAATGATGCACGAGGAATCAAATTAGAGAGCGAGAAAGAGAGAGAGAGAACTGTGTAGTTACAGTCATAAGTGAGAATCTGACGATGCGTGAAACTATAATACTTGTTAAGTATTACATAAGTCGTTTTTATTGGTGATTGTAAAGAATTACTTAAAACGCATAATGGAGATTGAAAAGAAAGTTGTGCGTGTATTAAACTTCCATGCAGTGCGATAAACAAGAGCTTACACGTGCATAAAGTCATACAAAACGTAGTGAATTCATTTTGGTAAAATATTCTAGATATAAGTGTTTAAGATAACATAATATTAATATAATTCTCTACGCTACTTAAGAAATATTTAATTATTATCGACAATGATCCTAATAAATTATGTATGTAGGTAAATTATGTATGTGAAAGAAGTATGTTATTTAAAAAAAGAACAAAAAAATGTGAAGTCAGCTGTGAAGAGTATATATATATATAAAAAAAAGAAAAAAAAAGAAGTTTGAATGAAAAGTTACACCAGTTACGTACTGTATGTACGGGCGAATCTATATTTGCATTTGTCATTCAAGATAGTCATGAATTTGTGCATTTCTCGTGTTGAAAATTTTTCTTTGTTTTTTGTACTTTTCCAAAGGAACAATGTGAGGTAATGTCTCATACCTGTCACGTTATTTATTTATAATTATATCAGTGTAATGCTTTGTACTACGTGCGCTGTTCGGCGAGACGATAGAATCTGTGTATATTCGTATAAAAAAATGAAACGCGTGGACGATAACCGGGTGGTAAACGTCGATTGTTATTATTTGTGTTTCAATCTAGTGCAGATTAAATGAAAGTAATAATTTGAAAACAAAGCAAAACAATGAAAAAGTAAGATCGTCTTTACTGACCTGCCTTTTATCCGTTTAAAGATGGCGACTGAACGATTCGAGAATCAAAACTGGCGCATTTTTCGACTGCCGACTGATCGATCCAAGATGGTGGCCCGCGACAGCGCCGCGACACGGCAGTTTGCCGTAAGCAGTGCGAGGTGTAACGTGTGTGTGTGTGCGCGATCCTGACGTTTTTCGCCTGATCAGCGGTAAGTAGCCTTTATTTACGAGTCGTGCAACAATAGTTATATAATTCGCGAGTCGCGTGAGTTGTTTATGCTCGTTCATCGGTCAACCATTGGCGGGAAATGTGTTTTTCTGATGTGAAACGATCGGTGCAACCGCTCGCCCGGAGATCATCTCCTACGCACGTTCGTACCACCCTGCTAGCATTGCTGTCAACTCGCTCTGTTTATTTTTACCACGAATTGAAGCCAATTACAAGTCGAGCGTTAGCCTAATTGAACAAAATTACCCATGTACTTCGTTCAAAGAAGTATCTTCCAGTCAGTATTTACGATAATCCATTTCTACCGATCGATTCATTTAGAAAATCTTCTATAAAAACAACAAGCATTCCACCTGTATTCGGGCAGTGATCATTTATGTGTAGGCAGCGTTCTTGACTCATTCGTTTTCCAAATATTTCGTAGAAATCATGTTGCCACGGTAGAAAATTTCTTCTGCAAGTTGTCGTCTGCTGTGTCGATACTTAACCTCACTTTGCTCACTTAACTCGAAGGGCTGTCAAGTTACGGACGCTTACCAGGCTAAGTAGTCCTTGAATTCGGTAGTCGATACTATCTATAGATTTCCACCGTCTTTCATCCTATTTGTACGAGGAACAATAGAACTCTCTCTGAGAACAGTATTTAACCCTTGTTTCTTAGATACATTAAAAAGAAACATGTCAGACGAGTCAACGAATCCAACGTACACATGTGAGCTAGAGTTTAATATTAACCACAGTGCCTGGTGAATCAGACAATGAAAGTCAATGTCGCAATCGTAACAGTCGCGGCAAATGATTGCTTCGTGGGATTGCACTATTCACAAGGGTACAGTGAATCGAAAAACAAAACAATTATTCGTAACAATGCTCGCCCCTGTATTATTGTACCATTGGTTTGCGGTAGACAAATCAGTAACACGTAATGGACGCATGGGGAGAGGCCACGGTTGTAACATTCCGACGAAGAAAAAATGCGCTTTGCGGGAGCCGTTTAGATTCACGTGAAACTGGTTTTAGACACGTGCGTACCACGCGGTCTAATGCATTTCACGCGTCTCACGCGTTCGAGCACGCGCCCATCCCTTCATGGGTGTGCATCGTCCAACGCATACCATTACGCGATAACGCACGCTTCGTCAGCTCGATGAACGATCTTTTTCGGAGAAAACGCGCTATCTTTTCCGTCGGATTATTTCATACTTTGAGTCATTTCGCTTTGTTCAATTACTCTAACGTCATTCGGTACATTATTAACAAAGAGATCATTCCAAACTCGGGAATTCAAAAAATTATAAAACTTTGTGAATATGTAGAGAATGCCCTTCCGATTAAAACGCAATTTTCATTTGTTACCCGTTTTCAATTTAAGGGGATGAAAATCGCCCTTAAAATTTCGGTTGTTTTTCAGTTTTTTTTTTCCTTTTTCTCCAAAACCGTTGAAGCTATCGAAAAACTTCATGAGCAAAAGTTGTTCGTTTTAATGTATAATATTTTTTTATGTTAAAACAAAAGATTATTCTTAAACATTTTTGTTTATAACTTTCTGTAATTGTTTAAATAATTTCTTGTTGAACCATGCAAAAATGCTATACATTAAGACGAACAACTTTTGCTTATGAAGTTTTTCGATATCTCTAACGGTCTCGGCGGAAAAGAACAAAGAACCCGTAAAACGGTCGAAACTTTAAGAGCGATTCTCACCCTCATATACTGTAAATGGGCAGCAAACGAAAATTGCGTTTTAATCAGGAGGAAATCACCTACATATTCACAAAGTTTCATAATTTTTTGAGTTTCCCGGTTCGAGATCATCGCTGGTAAGTCTCCGAGGAAAGGGTTGACAGTAGTCTGAAATGATTGTTCCACGACATTGGACTTCTCGCGATTGAAGTTGGTATTCCGGAAAACCAGTTTCAGTAGAAGATTATCTTGTCCCGTTATATTTACTGAATCGTATGCACTGCATCCGTGCCGTATGTGTTGTGGCTTTTACTCCGGGATGTCGAAGGTTTACCGAAACTTTCATCGTTTCCAGTGAAATCGAATGCCGTCGGCAAGGATAAAGGTTTACTGAACATCATTTTTGGTAATTATAGATGGACTTTGAATATTTTGTCACTTAACATTTGTTTCGGAATACCGCACAGATATGCAAATGTATCCAATTAGTCTGTATTTAAATAATGAACGAACATACAGCAAGTTACAGTAAACAGCCACGCAATGTACCGTCGAGATAATCAGCTATCTTGGTTAAATATTCCCGCTATCTTTTTTACTAAACTTGTAACATTGCAAGTTAGCTTTTTCTTTGAAATAATTATCTCGCCAAGGCAGGTGTACAAACATTACATTTCCGTGGCACTGTTTCTTCAAGCCTTATTCGGACACACTTGAAAATCCTCCATGTTGAAAAGCAGAGAGGTTAAACTATTTTTAGCATTTCACTTGTGTGTTTCGATCGGCGCTAATTGATGAACTTGCTACCGCAAACTATTCGCCGAGTGTGCGGTCGATACTGTGATAGTAAAATTTTCACCGAGAATGTTCCATCTTTCCGCCTTGTTTCGCGGTTAGAAAGTTGAAAACATTGCCATTAATTCATTGCTGAACGTTTCAAGCGGGTTAATTAGTCGGACGATTGTGACCTTTGGTCTCGTCAGATAAATTGAATATAAAATTTCAAGTAATCGGAGTTTTCCGAATGCTTTTCTAGTATTCTGAAAAGCTTCAGACAGTCTCGTGTAAAAAGTAACCCGTTATTGAGAGGAAACACTGCTCGATAAAATAACAAGTTTGGCGAGAAACTTTCGATCGAGAATCAATAATCTGGCCATTAATTCGGAGAGAAACTCCACGGATTTGGTTAACAAATTCGTTGCAGAGAAGTTCGTTCAACCAGATCGAAACTACATATATCGTGGTACAGCGCGGAAATGAAACCAAGAAGTTTCTGTTTACTCGTTTTCGATATTACGTACAAATTTGATAATCTTTTCTGTGGCGAACCAGTCGTTAAAAGTCTATTTTATTTATTTATTAAGCTGATAGATATCACCGAATTGTCACAGTTTTAAAAATACCAATTAACCGGTTTCAGTACTTAATGAATTTCACTAAAATTTTTTTCTTTCGACTATCACTCAACAGGATCACGTGTATTTAAATCCTTCATTTTATCGTATTTAGAGTGTGACTGTGCACGGTACATTGTAATCGCGTTAAAGCTCCGTCAACGAACGCCGCTCTCATTACCGAGATTAACGGCGTTTTAATTACTCTCGGAAGTATTTAAGCTTGCGTACGCCAGTCTAGACTCCTTCCGATGAGCTTAATTGCCCTTTTATCCAGTCCGTGTATAATTTCGATGAAAGAAATGCTCCGTCATTTACACGAGTACAGTAGTACAGGAAACGCAATCTATTAATTAGTAGATCTTACAGATTTACAGAAATAAAATATGAATTTGAAACCAATTAAAAAATAGAAGATTTTTGTACGGACCCTTACATAGAGAATTTCATTACGAATCAAATGAACCTTTGATCGATAAAATAGATTGATAAGTGAAAATCAGCTAATCCGTTAATTAAGAACCGCGGTCGTGAGTCGCGAGGTTCTCAGCCTCTTTATACTCAAGATCAAGGTCGAGAAAATCGTCCGCGAAGGAAACTCGTTGGTTACCCGCGGAGTCGAGCGGAAAGTTCGCGGGAGAACGCGGTTCGGAGCGTTTGCGCGGCTCGTAAGGCGGGCAGAAAGAGAAAGAGAGCGGGCAGATTCGTTGACGCGTGCACACAGGTGCGTGAAGAGCAAGGTGAATGCGCCTTGAAGACGGTGGAGCACCTTCAGTCGTATCTTCTTCCTCTTCCCATCGACACCTCGGACGGTGCACCGAGTCCTAGGCTGTATCGCGTGCCGAAACGTAGCTTCTCCCAGGAAACTCGTCTTTGATCCTCTCGAGCCTTCGTCAGCGCACGTATTCACCGAGGCTAGCCTCGTAGTAGTCTTCGAGAAGATGAGCGGCAAGGAGCACGTTGCTCGCTCCTCGAAAGCGTGATTCAGCTTGAAACGTTCCCTTGTGCTCTGTGATCATTATTTTTACGGAATGCAACGAGGAACGTCGAGTAATGAAAAGAACAAAGAAGCAGAAGCGTTGTCAAAGATTCTTTCAACCATTTTTGAATAGTTTTTAATTGTGAATGATCAGCAGAGATTGATAATTAATGAATATCAAGTGACGAGTTGATCGCGGACAAACTTGCTTCGTGATTAATTAGCACCGTTAATTGCTTGCCTCCGTCGATCGTCAAACATGTAAGCTTCCGTGTAAACGTGTTCCGGAAACGATTAACAGCGTTTGAATCTGTTTGAAGATGTTTGAAAGGTTGATTTCGAGGATTGAAAATTAGACGAGACGTTGCGGTAATTTGAGTTCTGTTTTAGTTAATTTTCTTGTGTCTTTCTGACGAATGGATCGAGGGCTTCGTAAGTGATGATTTCTGTGTACTGTTACAATCAAGAGAAACAGGATTGTGTTTGATAGAAAAACTTGGTCGACCCGACGAGATATGGGAGAGAAGCTTTACCATGGTCGTCGTAGCGTCGTCGGCGATTACCGTAATTGAGGACTTTTCAAAGGATACGTTAGGAAGGTAAAATCACGTGGAGAATTTTCTCTTCTGCTTCATTACGCGTCCTACATGATTCTCTTCGTTATCTTCGAACTTCCTTAATCAACCATGACGCGTGCTCTAATCGAGTTATTTCAGAATGAAATATAAGTCGCATTATATTTTTTTTAAATTTCAAATATTCTAATTGAAATTCGTAAAAGAACAGTACAAGCATTTCACTCTGATCCATTCTTTGCTGTAATAATCTACCAGCCATTTTGCGCTAAGAACATTAATGCCGGCTGTCCATAGCGATTTATTTATTAAATTGGTATGCCGTAAGTGTTATTTCACGATACCTTTATGTCATCAAATTGTAGCGGACTTTCTATGTACCTTTCGAAACCGGTGATTTGATATGCAACCGAGGTAATATATAATTTGCTAGTTAAAAGATTGCATGGAAATTCGCGATACTGTTAGGTACATTAGCATAGCAAGCATAATCGTTCGCATTACCATAGAACCGTAACGCACGGACGTTTTCAGCTGTAAGGGGTTAAAGTCCTGCTCGAGTTACGCGAAATTACGTTGATGTACAACGCGATGCGCCGAGTCTAACGGGCATGACGATCGGAATGATTCCAGAAAAAGCCTCGGTTTAAAGGCGCTCAGCAAGAAACGACATTATTTCACGGTATTGTTACCGTGTCGCGTCAACAATTTCCTCCTTCCAACGGTTCCAAAGCTGTCCGATCTTTTTCCTACCGAACAATTTCCACGCGAGACTTCTCCTTCTTCAACTTCTTCGTCTCCTTCATTTCGTTTTAGTTACAGGCTGCTGGTTTAAATTACCGAGCTTCTTTTGTCTGGAATACCAGCAGCATCTAATCTTAAATTACCGGAAAATTTCAGGGGGATGAAATCTGAGGGTAGATTGGATGGTCCAAGTTTTTATGATGATCTGTATTCCTTTTTTGTAGCTTCTGTTAATCATTATTATCATAATCGAAACTCAGGAAGAAGAGAACGTTTTTTAGGTCGGTGAAATTGGACGGGTCGTTTCTCCGTTGTCATTCGTCGAGCAACGATCGAAAGTACATTCGATCCTGCTTTTAGTCACGATCTCACCTGAAATCGCGAACGCGAGGGTCGTCGCGTGAACTTGGCCTCGTTCGTCAGCATCGAAATCTCTGTTTTCAACGTCGAATAGTATTCTTCCTCGCTCGAATTGAACAAGGAAACGATATTGATCGCTTGCAATTCGACTTTCTAACCGACTACCTGTTTCCTTAATCGCTGTCCTCCTTCGAAATCGACAGGTAACGGTGGACGAAAGAGTAATCGATCCATTCTCTTTGTTGAGCTCGTTTATTCCACGTTGTAGGTATATTTCACCTATTTAAATTTCAAAATTTCTCCGTTCGATATAGGTTGAAAAAAGAAATACCCTAGAGTACAGCAAAGATGATTGCACCTCAAGAAAATTAAAATTAAAATTGAAATTAAAATTTTATCGGTGATATTGGAATATTTCCTCATCCTCTTATTTAACCTCCATCCACTTCCATCGTTTCTCGACTGAAAGAAACGCGATTTATTGCGAACGATGTTCGACGTTTAACGAGGAAAACGTCAAAGATGGACGCTACGCGATGATTCGAGGGGGGGAGGAAAAGCACACGGTCAATTAAAGGAAGCATGCAGCCCGGAACGAACATTGCTCTGCGAAGCATCACAGCTTGCGGATGCATCCATGTAAAACCGAATATGCATGGCCTTCTTTTCATTAGTCTTCGTGCGTTCGTATCTCTTTTCATTTCCTGGCAAAATGAATTAAATTCTAGAATGACATCCGTAGAAAAAAATAATTTCTTTTATTAGCGAATAGAATCATACGAAATCGTCCATGAGAACCTGCACAGTGTGTAAAGTATGCTTCCCACATGGTATACCGGTCCTTCTGACCTTTCATGGACCTTCACCTACTCGATGAACTTCTCGAACTTCCGCCTAAGAAACATATCGATGTACATCCACGTGTAATGCCGTAAGGTTTGCATTCCCTCGAATACATTCACGGAATACCTACTGAGAAACGGTCGAAGCAAGATACGACCATAGTCCTCGAGCATGATTCGCTCGATTGCACTTATGACCTCTTTAGAATCGTCGCGAGAAGTGATCGGTACTCGGCTGTCGGCGACAAACGACTTTTTTACGATGAAAGTGAAACGTACGAGCTGTTTGATTAGCCATCAGTGTAAAGGAAATGAACTTCCCTTGGATTGTCAATTAATTTCTTGATGCAACCTGTTTGCCTTTCGGTTCGATGATTATAATTCTTCTTCGGACCTTCGCAAAAATACCTCGATAACTTTTTATAAAATTGTATACCATACGCATGATAACGTTAATTTCCTAAAGGATGCATAGCAGAGTACAGAACATAAAGTAGAATAAGAGATTCGCG